GCTTGATGCAAAGAGACCTTGTTGTAGTTGATAGCTCCAGCATGGCTGTGGTTATGTCTTAAATGGGTTTTAAGTTGTAAATAGCTTGCTCTATGAAGTGTGCTGCACCATTGCAAGAGGGAGAAGTTCTGAGCAGTTAAGGCACAAAGGCTTCAAAATCCAACTTTTTGGTTTAACTGCTTGTAGTTGTTGTCTCAGAACTGACTTCGAAGCTTAGCGTGACATTTATAATGTGTGCTGTGGAATTATTTCATTGTAAATGCAATTCAGCACTTGGAAAAATTCATGACGGTAATTCAGTGCATTTGGTAGGACAGTATGAGCAGTCTCCAACAGTCCTAAACCTGGTGGAGAAGGCATTGTGAGCAGGAGGAGGTAATTGTTCTGGGATCAGGTTCAGCTCCCCCGCCCTGGGTGTGCTGCCATTTGTGATTTTACAAAAAATGAGGCATTTGGCTGCATGATATGTGGTCCTAGAGGACTTCACATTCCTTCTTGGAAATGAAGCAAGATGGTGGCGATGGGAAATGCTGCTCAGGGAGAGCGTGTGAGCCCAGCTGCTTCCTGCAGTTTATCCCTCTGCTCTGTCCCCATGTCCCATGTGTTGTAGTGAGGGTGCTGGTGCATATGTCCCACTCTGGGCAGTGGACATGATATGGATGAATTTGGCACATTCCTGTTTCAACCTGTCAGCAGTTGGCCTCCGTGATGTGGCACATTCTTGCAGAGAGAGAAGCATTCCTCAAGAGGTAACAAGAAGCAAATGGCAGTGTGATGGCTGTTTCTTCAGAGCCAAAATATGGTTGCATTCTTCAATTGTGTTTGATTTCCAAAACCCTCAAATCTGAAGGCAGTATTTTAAATACTGTTGGAAATTATATACGCTCATCTTTCATTTTATTTTTTTCCCCAGAAGTGTAATGCAAGTCTAGGAGACCACAAACACAACTTTTAGAGCTGTGATAAAAATTACATCTGAATCACACCTAAAATGCTTGTACTGTAAATTATTTGGCTTTGGCACTCTGCTTAAAGAATGCAGTCATTTTAGGAGTTGTGTTTGTGACTGTGAAGGGTTCCAAAATTCCAAGCTACTTTCTCTGAACCATTGTCAGGATTTTTGAGGAATGATTCATAAGCTTTTGCAAGCTTGGCAATTGTGGTATGAGCATCAGGAGTGTGAAATGGGTATTACAAAAATGCTGTTCAGGCTGTCTTTTCAGAGATAGCACTTCATTTTTATCTTTCTTACTCAGTTGTTATTGTATTTTTTTTATTAGGCAAGACATGTTTCTGAACAGTGGAGGTATTTGAAATCTGTTTTCTGTGTTATTTTCCTACAGAATGTATTTTCCAGTTTATTTTGTACATTATATGGTATGATAAGAATTTGTCTTTGAGTTACCTAGTACTTGACTGCTGCAGGGATCTTCTCTGGTTACATCTCCCTTGGAGTTACTCAGCAGTACTGACTATTCTACACAGCCCCTATAGAATATTTATTACATATTTCTTAGTCTTACTACTGACATGTATTTTGCAAAGAATTAGCATCCTGATCAGAACTAACAGTTTGCAGCCATCTCTTTTTTGAGCTTAGCAATGTTTTGGCTTCGAAAGGCATTTGCCAACAGTATCAGTCATTTAGTGATATCAACTGAGTTAATACTGTCTTTTAATTTGAAATGTTTTGTAGAAGCCATGTGTGGCCGTACTGGATGATCATTGATGAAAGTAATTGTTTCACTTTATTACACAAATAGACCACAAGAGAATAGCATTGCAGCCTCAGAGTGCACTGCTCAGAGTCAGACCGCGCGTCTGCCTGCAGAGGACCGGGGTTATGCAGTCCATCGTGAGTCCATTCAAACATCACAACTCTGGGCTAGAAAGTCCTCTTTGTTCCCTCACCAAGTGGACAGACAGCTTGCTTCTCTCCACGGAAACACAGGGCCTGCAAGTAGTGATGTTTGCAAGTGTTTCCTCAAGTGATCATGTCACAGTTTCAGATGTTTTGTCCGACCAAGCCTTGTGCTGCACCTGAGCTGAGGAAGGAGTGCTCTGATGGCAGCCTGCTGTCAGATGGCAGCTCTGTTACAAGAACAGTTGGTGCTGTTATGTTCTTGTAGTGACTGTCGGGTTCTGAAGTGAAGTGAGCTGAGACTTGAACCTTGTCTTTCTTTTTTTTTTGTATGTAATTATGCATGTCGTTCTTTTGTAATGCCCGGTTGTTAAAATGCAGTCTTGAAACAGTGGTGGATGGCAGTTTCTTCTTCAGAAAGTGTTTTGCTTTGCTGCAGAGCTAAGAGCAGGAACACTGCTTTTTGGTACCAAATCTGCTTTTGCTAAGGCTTAAGTGTTTTCTGAAGTGATTGGGAAAGCTTGGCCACAAACCCACGTGTTTATTTGCATTTCACATGTGTGTTTCGTTAGTGGGCAATATAAGGTCTGAATGAAAACATGCTTTGTTTTTCTTTCATATTCTGGGGTAAAATTCTTTTTTCAGGAGAGTTGAGAAAGGTTCAGAGGAGCAATGCAAACAAATTGAGACAAGTAGCTGGCTGTCCTCTTTTATAAGCACTCGGATGAGGTGATTGACATTGAGGTAATTGACATCTGGAGCCTCTTGGAAACACTCAAGTGCGTCATGCCTAAAATCCCTTGATAAAAACTTATGTGCTGTTTGGTGAATTCTGTTTAGAGGTGCTCCTGTCAAGGTCCTACCTCTTTCAAAGATTGAAAGTCGCATTTTCACTATTGCAGTAAGGCAGCAGTTTATCATACTGTGCTGCATTTTAGCAGTTTATTGCACTGAGCTACAGTTTCACTAACCCTGAAATCAGGGTATGACAGTGGGAAGGGTTGTGTTACTTCTGACCCAGTTGAAGGCTTGTGTATTGAAAAAGGCAAATGACACAGCAGATACATAACCCGTGATGTGGAGAGTGGGATTAAAATATGAATTAGTACCCTGAGCCAGGAAATGCAGTATTAGAATGCTCTGGCTTTCTGTTGCCTAAAGGCTTGTTATACACATGTATTAATAAATATTTACTTGACACCGACAACATGTTGTTTTGGGGGGTGTTTGAACGTGGTTGTTTTTTCTTTTTGTTTAATATTCTTTTCCATGCACAATATAAATGGTTACTAATTGAGCAGTGCTGAATGCTGTGTCAGGAAACGGGGGATAAATGTAAGTGCTGCACTGACAACAGAAAAGGAGTATTTGAACTGAAAAGAACTAACCTTGATATTTCTTGCATTTCTGTCCTTCCTTATTGTGTGGGCTTGTCCTTGTTATGTGGGTTTTGATGGGTAGAGGGAAAAAAACAGGGGCATGCATGGAGAGCCTAGCATCAGTAGGGAGGAAATAGGGCCTTCAGCACAAGGAAGAGTTGCACATGTATGGGAGAGAAAAAAGATGAGAATACGGAAAAATACGATGCACTCCAATTTATCAGAGAAGGAAGGTGTGTAGTACAAGGAAAATACCAAGTGCTTGTCCTGTGTCCAGAGTGACACCTTATGTGGTCCTCTGCTGTTCTTCTGTATAACAGTGTGTATCAATTCTTCTGCAGTTTACTCACATTTATGGTCCGTCCCTCTGCTTTGATTTTGGACAGACAACTTTGTTTTCACATTTGTGAACGTGAGAGCTCTCACTTAAATGCTAATAGTAAACTGCTATGCATCTTGCAAAAGCGATGAAGAAATGTCTCTTTGGTAGCCGTAGCTCTGCAGATGGGTGTGTGACATACTTCTGGCACTGCTAGAAAAAGTGTTCAGCAATCTGCCCTGTGCTACTTAGAGTTTTTGTGGAGTATGACTTAAACCGTAGATAAATCATGCAGCCAAGGTGGTAATTAATACTAATTAAAGTATAGTGTTTTTGCAGACTTGTTAGGAAAATGACTTGAATTTGGCACAGCCAATCTTGAAATAGCCGTAGCAGTGTTTCACTTTGCTGTTTAGATTCACAAGGCAGTGTGACTGACACTTTTTCGCAGTGAATTGATTTTTAGGAGCACTAACGTACTATTTTACCATTACTGTAATGGTAATTAATAATAGAGGAGAGAAAATTTATCCTGATCAAAGACATGGATGTCTTGTTTCTTTAGTCTGTATGGCTGCCTTCCAGCAGTCCCTTCTCTGAGCGGTGTTTCTCTTGTCCTGAAATGCATGGTGTGTGCTGTGTGTACACCAGCACTGCTGGCCGTGCCTCTGGGCAGTCTGCAACTGGGCAGCTCTGGGGTGGCTGCCAAAGTGCTGAGTGCATGGCAGGGCTGGGAGCTGCTTCGTGGTTCATCTTTGTCATGTCCTGAGCAAACTGTTGAGCAAACAGTTTATTGCCCCATGCCCGTGTTTCCTTTTTCGTCCAGGTTTTTGTTTAGATTCGTGCCCTTTGAATTCACAGTACAGATGAAAAAGCTTTGCTAAAGCTTTCGGGTCAGAAGGAAGATGCCTTCTGTGGCAAAAACCTGGTGGCACTGTTCCCTGCAAACCTTACAGCTGGTGTCCGAGTCAGCCACACGGGGAACCGTCCCTCCTCCTGTTCCCAGAGTGTAGCTGGGACTGTGAGCCAGCATGCCTTGTGATCCCAGACATGCGATTCCCACTGCCTCGCGCTGCTGATCGCCCTTAGCTTTTTGGTTCCAGCTCTTAAAAGTGTTGTTCCTTTTAGCTTAACGTTCTCTGTTTGACATTCCCTGTTCCTTCTTGCAGTTAATTTTCTAGTCTCAAGTTATTTTTGCTGGGATATTGCAACGCTTGAAAAATGTGACTGAAAGCAGTAGAGTGCGCAGAGCAGTTATATCTCTGCGTAATGTTGTTAGTAATGCTGTTAAGGACTTTGTTTTTCTTTCTTAAAATAGCCTCTTAGTTTAAAGCTCAAGATGAACACAGCAGCATTCATTACACTGAGTTATATATTAACTTCTATATTCTACAGGAGTTAAAATACTGATTTTCTTTCATGTCAATATGTTTCTATACAGGTTTACCCTAGAGTTGGAAGACAGAGACAATTCTATTGTATCCATGTTGGGAAAGAGGTAATTGCTGTAGACAAAGAGGGTTAACGCTGGTATCACAGAAAAATGAGTATGTTAAAACCAAGTGGACTTAAGGCTCCATCAAAGACCATCAAGCATGGAAGTATGTTACTGAAAGCACCTGCATCTGTTGCAACTGGTAAAGAATATTTCATATCTTAACTTTTCCCTTATTCATCTTCCAACAAAAAATGTGGTGAAATCTATGAGCCCACAACATTCCTTGTATTTATGCTAAAACACTTCTGCTTGTACTTCTGATCTAACAAAACTGCCTATTAAACATGCAAAAAAAAATCTCAATAGTTGAATGCAATCTTGGTTCAAAACAAACTTTTTCAAATGCTGCACTGTTGAAAGCATAGGGGTAAAAATAAAAAAGACACAAGGAAAACCATTTTGATCCTGGCATATCCATGCTTTCTCTAACTGGTAAGATTTCAGCATGTTACAGGTAGAGGGAAAGTATCTGCTGTAAGTGTTAAGTACATTAGCAGTGTTGTTATCTGAGATAACCACACTTCTACAAGTACAGCAAACCTACCTTTGTTGTTGAACATTTTCCCTAAAATAACTGTGTTTAAAAGTATGCACTATAGTGTTCAGATAACATAATTGCACATAACATTTGATAATTCTTTGAATTGGTTAAACGTGTAAAATACTTTTAATACCCTAAAACAAGCTTGCAAATTGCAGAAAGTCTCAAGATACAACTTTTCTGAATTACGAGTGTATTTGATTCTTGTTGCTTTCTCATGGTGCTCAATTCCAGCTCCAGCAGAAAAGGCACCTTCCAGTGACAAGTCCTCAAGCACAACCACTGCAGACGCACACGACGACTTTGTGGATGATTTCAGAGTTGGAGAGCGTGTTTGGGTCAATGGAAATAAACCTGGCTTTATTCAGTTCCTTGGTGAAACACAGTTTGCTCCAGGACAATGGGCAGGGATTGTTCTAGACGAACCAATCGGTAAAAATGATGGCTCTGTGGCTGGAGTTCGCTATTTCCAATGTGAACCATTGAGGGGAATATTTACAAGACCATCAAAATTGTCAAGAAAAGTGCTGACAGAAGAGGAAGCCAATGGTACTCAGACAGCTCATGCATCTAGAGCTACATCACCAACCTCCACATCGACTGCCAGTGCGGTGTCTGCCTCCCCTGCTGCACTTCCCCCAACAGGAATTCCACAGAAAACATCACCACTTGCTGCTAAAGAACATTCTACTCCTGCTCAGTTTAGCAATCTTTCAAAAACTGCAAGTGGATCTGTATCAAATCTGTCTGAAGCTGGATCACTAAAGAAAGGAGAAAAGGAGCTCAAAATTGGAGATAGAGTTCTGGTAAGATTTCCCCACTGCTACTGAGTCTGCTTTTTGATAAAGGAGTTGTAACTTCTGCTAACGCTCAGAGCTTCTCTGTTTCCTTGGTTCAGGTAATGTAAATTTATGCTCTGTCTTTTCGAGGTTAGTCTTGTAAAAAACCTCTAGGCATGCTCTCCCCGTGCAGTTTTGCATATTACAGAGAGATCTTTACAGTAGCAGTACAAAATGGTTAATCTGGCAGTGTTTATTCTATCATATTTTTCCAGTGTTTTGTTGAAGACCAAATGATTTTTTTAGCTTGGATGTAGTTTGTCCTTTCCATAACTGCAAAAATTACAAACATGCTAAGTAAAAGCTGAGCTTGTGAGAGATTTCAATGCAGTTCTCCTGCCCTATTCAGGGCTGTGTCTTTAGAAAGCTAACAGTTCAATAATTGATTGTTCTCTCGAGTAGTGATAGGCAGCAACAGGAGTAGTCATATAATGCCACTGATCACCCAGGATTTACGTGTTCTGTTGGTGATGTGTTATGTTACTTGGCTGCTGTTCCTAAATTCAGAACCATAATGCTTCTGCTGATGTATCATTGTCATTCTTTGCAAAGGGAGCTAAGTTTTGCTGCTTTAAGCATTTTTTTTTTTAAGTAATTGTGTTGTGTACCTTTTCTGTTTGTATGAATGTTATATGGGCTGGCATGTGTTTTCTTGTAATGGCAGTGGGAATGAAGATACACCATTCATATCGCAGTTTGATTTTAGTAAAGTCCCAAATTCTGGTTTTTAAACAGAAAATATTAAACTTAGTATTTCCTCCTCCCTGCTTCCCGTTTGCCTTAAGTCTTCCTGTTGAGTCATCAAGTAGTAGTTTGAGGTTTGGGGCAATTCCTAGCACAGCGTGACAGTGATGCATATCTATAATTTACATGCCTGTGTAAGTGCACAGGAATATGAGTGTTAAATGGGCTGGGTTCAAGTCTACTGGTTTTTAACCCTTCCTGTTTTTTTTGTAGCTCTTCAGATTAACTGCAGCACTTCCCAGCACCTCACTTGTTTCACATTTACACTGACAGCAGTAACTTTTAGGTAACATGTTACACAAGAAGATGAGAGGCTTGGTGGTGTTTGTACTCAGCACAGGACTTCCCTCCAAGCGTCCTGGATCTGAGACACGCTGCTGCCTGACTGTGCTGTTGCTAATCTCTAACGAATAAATGCTGCCCACATTCATCTTTCTTGCAGCTCGGACTGACTGCTATTGAATACTTAGTGAAAGTTCTTAGCTGTGCTGTGCTGATTACAGATATGAGGAAAACAACTGCTGGGAACTGCATCTCGAAAACAGTGAGCCTCCAGCAGAGTAGGATTGCAGTTCAGCAGAACAATGAATTCATGACAGACAAGAGCTCGTTTGGGAGTCTTATTAAAATGCTTAACTGGAAAAGTGTGTCCTCAAGGGCAAATTCATGTATGGTAAGACACAGCTCATTAGCTAAGATTATATTCTAGAATGGACTTCAGATGTGGCTCAACTTTGTTGATCTTTGTGTGTGATCTTAGGGTGTGGAGTGTTGCACTGGAGTATTTCAATCTGTTGGGTTTTCTTCTTCAACTTTGATTTTAGAATGTTTTTAATCAGACTTACCTTGAATTGATCTGTTCAGATTTTTTCTTAGCAGCTGGTTGGTTTTTGATGATACTTAAAGCAACCAAAGCTAAATCATACAGTGTTTTTCTACCCAGTCTGGCTTATCAAGAAGCAAGAAGATATTCTAAGAAATGCTGAAATGCCAAAGAAGCATTGCTTACCAATTTATATATCTCACAATTGCTTCTTTTCTGTATTACAAAAACACAAAGTTGACTGAGGCTTGTTGATCCTGTGAATACTGTGTTCAAAGCATTTCAGGCTTGACAAATCAGCATTTCCCAACTGTTATGCTTTATTGGAACATTTTTCAGTTCAAATTGTCAGGGTTGTTTTTGCATTGTGTCACAATGTGCATTGAAAATTGGGATTATCTACATGTCCCACATGTGCAGCCCCCCCCAACTTCTATGGGAAAGTGATATAGATTCAGCAATAAACAAGGTTTCTGGTGTTACATTTCTATTCCTGATTATTTAGGTACAAAAAAGGATCCTGAAAGATCTGTCCTTAATTCCATTACCTTTAGGAAGAATAGTGGTGACACAAACAATATGGGATGCTCATTCAGATGCTGCTCTGAGAAAAGAAATGCCACAAGAGAAAGCACACAAAGTTTAGAGATGATCACCTGCATATTCTCAAATGCCTGAGAGCATTCCATGCTAGGTTGCACGGAGCAATGCAGCAGATGTGGAGATGAAAAGGTACAGAAAGCTTTGCATTGCTATGCAGGCTTTCTTTTTCTAAGATATCTGACATTTAAAAAAAAAGTTAAATATCAAAACAGGCAGTGCTTAAAGTTGTGTGGTAAGTCCACTGAGCAGGTGCCTGCAGAAGAATGCTTGCAGTAGATTTGCTGCAAGTCAGCTGCAGCTCTCTTTTTTTTTTGTTCCCCTCAATTTGAAGAGAACAGGTTCCAGGCCATTAAATTCTTTAATTCATTTAATGAATTTAATTCATTAAATTAAGTTCTTCATAGTCCTATTTTTTTTTTTTTTTTGTAAGGAAAACTTGAAAATGGTGGAACAATTCACATAGTTGTGATTTTTTAGTTCTCTTCCCAGAGATTCTAGAGGAGTCAAAGCAAAGTGAAAGCAAATCAAAATGTAGTGAACACACAAGCTGAAGTAGTGTACCTCTACATGGATATTCCAAAGCACAAAGAGCCATATTTCAGATTTCTATAATTTACTCCTCAAATGCAACTAGGTGAAAAGAGCACGCAAGCCCCAACTGTCTTGGGAATCTCTGACAAGTCTGTTCCTCACATCCCAGTATCTCTGAGCTAAATTCACCAAGCTCATACTTAATTGCTTGGCTGACTCAAAGCTGAGCAGTAATTTTCCTTTCTCTAATAAGTATTATGAAATACTTCACATTAACATGTAGGAGTTTTGGAAATACGGGGAGATGAGATACGTGCTAAAAAGAATTGTGCATTCTGATTTGTAATTTGTTCTTATTCAACTTTTCACTGATGTGTAACTTTTCCTGAAAAAATAGCTGAACCAAAGGAAAAGTCATTAGTGCAGAGAGTAATCAAATAGCTCTGTCTTAACCATAATTTCCATTCTTAACAGCTGAAGTACATTCTAGAATCTGGATATGATTTAGTGGTTAGAGAGAGAACATTGACTCTGAGCAGCCCGATCCCATATTTGGGGTTTGCTTTAAAGTAGGAAATGTTGGTGGAGAAGTCTGTGCTTCCTCCACTGTGCAGGTTGGGCCGTTACTGGTTCTTGACAAAAGAGTGCGAAGTTTAACATAACTGTAGGCCATTTGCCTACTGAAAGCTAGGCTACAGTTTCAGCATTGTAAAGCTAATATAAATAACAATTCTTATGCAGAAAGTGATCTCTCTTGTCTTCCTTCTCTTCCTTGTGCAGCGGAAGAGTTCTTGTCACCAGGTAGTAAAGCAGGTAGGGAGGGAATAGGTCTGGCTGAAGACTAATTCAGAAAACTAATTACTGCCAGGCTAAGCTGGTTTCTGTTTCCTCTTTGAGTTGCAGCCAGAGAAACTGTTTGCCCAGGCGTTGCGAACACTTGCTATTTACCAGCCCGATGCAGAGTTGGTTTAAACAAACAAACAGATAAAACCAAAACCCAATTTGTTGAAAGAAAATGGGGAAACCTGCTTTGTATGACAGTTGTTGTGCCTGTTGAAGGTTAAAGAGGCTTTGAGAGCATCTTAGGCTATTTCCTGGGGGAGCAGATGCTGTATTTATAAATAAATAAATAAAAATCTTATCAACCTAAGGGGCCTTAGCCTTCTCAAGGGATTAAAGTGCTTTCATTCATTTAACCAGTTAGAGCTTCATCGTGCTCTGCCAGTCTGATGCTTCTGAGCTGAGCTGAAAAGCTGTAACTTGGGCCTCCATCCATATGTTCACAGAAGGTTGCAAACCAGATTTACAGGCGTATGCTGATGTGGCCTTTTTGCTAAGTTACTATCAGTGCATGAATAATGCCTAATTTATTTTTATTGTCTCTGTTTTGCAGCGTGCCGTGTAAATTACTTGTGCTATTTTTTTTTACCAAGTTCTTCAGTGCTGCAATAGGCGGACACTGAAGCAGATTATTGTCAGATTTGTTTCAACCCGTGTAACTTATCTTCAAGTAAACATGACGTAAGTCTGTCAAGTGATTAAATTCCAGCACTCTTAAAACCACTCTTTCAAGACTGAAGGGAATTTCTCACAGAGAGAGAGGTTTCTCCCTTTAGAAAGACTTCCTGCATTGTCAGTGTGGTATTTTTAAGTTCTCAGTTTTCTAGTTTCTGTAACATGCTGAATGCCACGATGCAAATGGGGATAGAAAAGGAAGAAAGATTTGGAAGTGGAGGACATGCAGTGGCTGTGTGCTCTGCTGTGGCTGTCCCCTCCTGAGCCTCATTTGTTGTAATTGCAAAGGTATGCCAATGCATTGTAATTGCAAATGTATCGCAGTGCCTGACTGCTCAGCCAGCTTTCCCTTTATCCTTGAGCTGACTCTGAGCTATTCTGATGGCTTTGTTATGGTAAGAATAGAAGTGATCCTCGTATTTGTGTATGTACAGTTAGACAGGGTATTTTAGAGACTGAGACTATAATGTAGATTTGTGGAGTGGTTGCTGCTGAGTAAAATACATTTTTGAGAACATGGCTGTGGGATAGAGAATATTCATAGAATTTGTATGTCCTGGTGGTTTTTCTCTGTACAATCTGTACCTTTCTTTTAGTGTTGCACTTCAGCATTTTTCAGGACATTCATTACCTGCCTGCCTGCTTGTGGATAAGTGAGATGTTAAATTCGTTTTGTCGCAGCAAAGTGCAATCGGTGGCTAATTATAAGTCCCGTTGTTTTGGCAGTTCCTTTTTAACATTACACTGGACG